TAGAAGAACATTTGCAAAAGGATTCAGTTACACAGCAAGTAATTGGTCCTCTAATACGAGTGCTTGGTTCTGGTATACAAATATTGCAGCAGAGAGCTGTCAAGGCTCTCGTTAGTATTGCACTAACGTGGCCAAATGAAATAGCAAAAGAAGGTGGTGTCAGTGAGCTATCCAAAGTTATTCTGCAAGCTGATCCTTCACTTCCTCATTCATTGTGGGAATCTGCTGCCACTGTTTTAGCCAGTATTCTACAGTTCAGTTCAGAATTTTATCTCGAAGTCCCAATTGCTGTGTTGGTCAGGTTGCTTCGTTCTGGATTAGAGGGCACAGTGGTCGGTGCACTGAATGCTTTACTAGTGCTGGAAAGTGACGATGCAACTAGTGCTGAAGCAATGGCAGAAAGCGGTGCAATTGAGGCACTGTTGGAACTTCTTAGAAGCCATCAATGCGAGGAAACTGCATCTAGACTACTGGAAGTACTGCTTAATAATGTGAAAATCAGAGAAACCAAGGCTACTAAATCTGCAATTTTGCCATTATCCCAATATCTCTTGGATCCTCAAACTCAAGCTCAACAACCAAGGTTGCTGGCAACTTTGGCACTTGGTGATTTGTTCCAGAATGAAGGTCTTGCTAGAAGCGCAGATGCCGTTTCAGCTTGCCGTGCTCTGGTCAATGTGCTTGAAGACCAACCAACAGAAGAAATGAAAGTTGTAGCAATATGTGCCTTGCAAAATCTTGTTATGTACAGTCGATCAAACAAAAGAGCAGTTGCAGAGGCTGGTGGTGTTCAGGTGGTATTGGACCTAATTGGTTCCAGTGATCCAGAAACATCAGTTCAGGCTGCAATGTTCATTAAACTTCTTTTCTCGAACCATACCATCCAGGAATACGCATCCAGTGAGACAGTTAGGGCCATCACTGGTAAGTTCCCTCAACCCTCCCTTTATGCACATACATGGATATAGACATTGATAAAGTTGGGTTTATTTTGTTATTTCCCTACAACATGATTGAAGATATTAACCATCAACTTTTAGAACAATTTCTTAGACTTAATAGAATTGCTTTACTTTTTTCCCCTTCTCAAAAGGTGGAGAATATCTGATGCTAATGGTCTTTTTTTTTTGCTTTACAATCCTAATATGCTTGACTAAGAAACTTTACCTGCCTGCCTCAGAAAATATAGTGTCCTAACAATTTGGTCTTGCAGCTGCTATTGAAAAGGACTTGTGGGCCACTGGAACTGTGAATGAGGAATACCTGAAAGCCCTAAATTCTCTTTTTAGCAACTTCCCACGATTGAGAGCTACTGAGCCTGCTACACTCAGCATTCCTCATCTAGTGACATCCCTAAAGACTGGTACTGAGGCAACTCAAGAAGCTGCCTTAGATGCCCTATTTCTTCTAAGGCAAGCCTGGTCAGCCTGTCCAGCTGAGGTTTCACGAGCTCAGTCTGTTGCTGCTGCAGATGCCATCCCTTTGCTTCAGTATTTAATTCAGTCAGGCCCTCCTCGTTTCCAGGAGAAGGCAGAGTTTTTGTTGCAGTGTTTGCCTGGAACATTGTTAGTTATAATCAAACGTGGCAATAACATGAAGCAGTCAGTAGGAAACCCCAGCGTATTTTGCAAGCTCACCCTCGGCAATACTCCACCCAGGCAAACGAAGGTAATGTACTTGATCATTGTTATCCCTTTAATTCTTAGTTTTAGCCTTTTTCTTGGAAATGTTGCTGCAAAGATACCTAGCTAATTTGTAGGTACAAACTAACAGTGCTCAACGAATTGCTGGAAATTATGATCCGTCTGTATTCTGCTGGAATATTGTGGTTTCTTTCTCTGGTCACATGTGCGGCATCCCTCATTTATCATCTATACCACTATATCTACATTTATGAATAATTCTTCTGTACATTTCATAGAGGAGATGCCACAATGTTCACTACTAAAATTTTGTCAGCATAACGGTTTTAGGAGAATATTTATAGTGCTTATGAGAGCCGTTCCTTAAAAGTTCTCTATAATTCATAGACAACGCAGTTTTTACATTCTTACGTTACAGATTTAGGAGAAAAACCTTCCACACTATCTTATTCCATTATCGTAGGGTCATCTCCTAATTTTATTCCATTATGACTAACAGTGCGATTTCTTATTTCTCTCTTGCATTATTTTCCCATTTTGTATCAGATCGCTAAACTTTAACCTCCCTTCAAAACTTGGTCAGGTTGTATCAACTGGTCCTAATCCAGAGTGGGATGAGAGTTTTGCATGGTCCTTTGAGAGTCCACCAAAAGGCCAAAAGCTTCATATTTCCTGCAAGAACAAGAGCAAAATGGGGAAGGTAAATTTCCTTATACCCCTTTTTTGTCTTCATTTTTCTTTCCTTGTGAAGTTTCTTAAATTAATTTTCTTCTCACTACATGTAATAAAATAAAACAGAGCTCCTTCGGAAAAGTAACAATCCAAATCGACAAAGTTGTAATGTTGGGAGCCGTTGCCGGCGAGTACACGCTGTTGCCTGAAAGCAAAAGTGGTCCTCCTCGAAACTTGGAAATAGAATTTCAGTGGTCTAACAAGTAAGCAACCATTGCTCAAGTAGGAGACCAGCCATTCCATTGGGGAATCATTTTTTCAATTTTATTTTCAATTTTGGGTATTTATCATGATAGTGTATATAGTATACTCTCCAGATTTTTCTTCTTTTCGTTTATAATATAGCAATTTGTCACAAGAAATCTCTCTGAAATTTCCTTCCATTAGTTTTCTGGGTTGAAAAAATGGACACAAAATTTGCTTTTGTTTGTATTTCATTGATTTCAAGTGCTTGTCAATTTTGAGGAAAAGTAATGTATAATGTAATTAATGTAACTTTCAGTGTGAGAATTGATTATAAAATTGTATTCACGGGAACTCTACAAACATGTTCTAAACATTATCTTTTGAATTATAAGAATCCTCTCACAGAAATAATTATTCTTTCCGAAACAGTTTCAATGTGATCGGTGTTACTGTTTAGATCATATATTTAAAATTTGAATTGCTTTTTTTAATTATTATTTATTAATCTGATGAATCAATTAAATAATTTATCATTTGCATTCACAAGTGCAGTGCTGCAGCTGAATGACAATGAGTGCGCTCTAGTTTTAACCGACACGTAAGTATTGTTGGACCACCTTAATTTCGTGCCTCGATAACTTCGTTTTTGAAAGTTTTTCCCTCTCCCAACCATAATCAAGGAATTACAATTATATAATTGACAGTTGGAGCATTTTCCTTTTTCCCATAATGCTTATTTTAGGATTATTGTTCAAATAAGGAGTAGGAATTTAAATTTAGAATAGTTAAAAAGTTACTAAGGACCTGTTTGGTAGGAAGGATTTAATATGTGATTGTCAAATTTATTTTTGAAATTTATTTTTGAAATCTGTTTCTGAATCTTGTGATCATAAAAATTGAAAGTCTTTTAGTATTTTTACATTTTGATATTGAAGCTTTAAAATGCAGAATTATATTAAAAAAGGATAAAAATTCAAAATATGGATAAATACGCTATTTCATGTTATAAATTAGTTTTATTGTTGCTAAAATTAAAATAGATAAACAGACTATATTATAAATTATATAATAATGATTATATAAAATTTATAACATATATGTTAATAGAACAATTTTTTACATTTACATTGAGATTCAATTTTCATATAGCAAACACATACATGAAATACAACTTTTTTTCTCATTGAATTCCTTATTTTCAGGTCACTGACCAAATGTAGCATAATGTTTCAAGTTGAACTACGGTGAAATTAACTCTTAGTTACGGTGCTTTTTAGTTTATAGTTTATGAATTAGTTAGAGTAGTAGGGGATGAATTTCAAATGACATGTGAAATTTAAGTGTTGGAACATTGTTATTGTTGTTGGACGAATGAGACACYCACTGTCCTAACTTTTAACACAATTACATGAAATATATTTTGAGTTAGGAGTTTACTGCTTATATAGAAAAAGCCCATCATCGATAATTTTTGTACTCATCGCATGTTTAAATCGAACATTGGTGTTACTGTTAAGGTCACTAACTCTATTTCTATAATACATTTGGCCAAACATTTTAATTTGGACCAATCTATATTTGGCCAAGCATTTTAACTTGGACCAATCAAACCAACATAGCTACACATTTGATACCTACCAAAAGTTTGCATTTTGACCGAACACAATCTTAGGGAATTCAAATAAGGGTGATTTTCTTGATTATTCAGGTGGGCAATTTCATGTGAATGTTAAAACTTTGCTGCATTTTTTCTCTCCATTATTCATTATTTGACTCAATTATTGGAGACACTCTGACAAACATCCTACTAACATTAATCAATTTTTTTAAAAAAGATTTTCATTCTTGCATCTTTCCGTGGATTTAATTATTTATTATTATTATTTTTTTATCGATAAAGACTATAACTATAACATTATATGATTTTTTTGGATACATAAAATATTGTTCACGATAAATATAAAATTTTCACATTTATTGAGAGTATTATATTAAAAAGAAAAATTATCTAAATTCAAAAATATCTGTCAAACCTAAATTAGTTAAGAAACTTCTAATATGGTTGAGGTGTCACAAAATTGATCCCATATCAAAATCAATTTGAATATTTTATTCTTGAAAAGTTCACAGTAATTTCGTTCGTTTCGTTTGAAAAGAGTAGATAACTCGAACCAAAAATAGTAGTAGCCTGCATTTAATTTTTATAAATAATCACAAAGCATATTTCCATATTTACATTGAAAAGATAATTATGAAAAATAAAATAAAATAAAGAGCGAGAAATGTATCCAACTGGGGCTAAAGAAAACGACAACCTCTCCTATACGCGCGCGCACAGTGAAAAGGGAATTAGTAAGTAACACGCGCCGTAGCGCGCGTGCATYACAGCTGCGCTCCGTCATCCTCGTCGCCTTCCTTTTCTTTTTTCTTCTCCCTCTTCTATTTATCCCACTCCCGCTGTCTGCTGCTTCCTCTTTACATTTCATCTTCACTCCATTTTTGAAACTTCCGGGAGAAACTCGTCGGCCTGTTTCTGTGATCTCTCATCCGTAATTTTGATCTTCCGCTCGTAACCGCCAAATATTTCTGTTCTGTTTCTCGTTTTGGTCCGGTGCGGGAAATTGAGGCTCCGAGTCGTTGGCATTTCTTCTGAAGCTCCAGATCTCGACTTCGAGCTACTTCATTCGTCCCTTTAAGGACTGAGTTGTAATGTCGCTTCGAAATCTGATTTTGTTGCTGACTGTGACGGTGATGATTGGAGTTCACCAGGCGGTGTCGATTACGTTCACATCGAAGATACTTCACCGGTTCTCTGAGGAGATGAAGGCGCTTAGGGTTTCAAGGAGTACGAATACGAGTCTACGAGTGTCCTGGCCTGAGAAGGGGAGCATGGAGTATTATCAGGAGCTTGTGAGTAGTGACTTCCGAAGGCAGAAGTTGAAGCTCGGCTCTCGGTTTCAGTTGCTTTTCCCGTCCGAAGGCAGCAAAACCATAGCGCTGGGGAATGATTTTGGCTGGTCACCATTACTCTACCTTCTTGCTATTTTCTCCTCCCCTGTTCTTGCTATGTTTATTTTTTATTTTTTCCATTCTGCATCTACTTTTCTGTATGTTTATCTTTTTGCCCCATGATTTCTCTGCAAACCTTTTCTTTCCCCACCTCCCTAATAGCCTTTTGCATAGTGGCACCTTTATCACAAAATTAGTGTTGTGAAATGTTATTTTATGTACCTGATAATTATTTTGCTATTTAGGTTGCATTACACCTGGATCGATATCGGGACACCAAGTGTTTCGTTTCTGGTTGCATTGGATGCTGGGAGTGATCTACTTTGGGTTCCTTGCGATTGTATAAAATGTGCTCCCTTGTCTGCAAGTTACTATGGCAGTCTGGTAGGCCTGATTTTCAGAATCTGCTCTTTCTACGTAGGCATTAGTTACTTCTAATTCACGACTTATGCTTTATCACCAAGCATGTTGCTTTTTTCCATTTCTGTTTAGAGTAAGGGTCATGCTTGGACAAATTGTGTTCTTGTATTCAAAGTTCTGTACTGCTTTTTCGCGGAAAAGAAGGGCATGGTCGGTTCCAACGCAAACAATCCTCAAAGAGGAGGCGGACATGATGGACTCTGTCATCTGCATCTAAAGAGAAATAATTGGCTAATTCATTTTTGGCTCAATATTTTAATGGATTGTGAAGTCTTTTTAATAAGACAGAAAGTTTAGCACTTATTTCCGATGATTGATTGGCAGGTGCTCCTGCTCCCTCATGTTTGGGGCATCTATAATGCAGGATAAAGATCTGAATGAATACCGTCCATCCAGTTCAAGCACCAGCAAGCATATACCTTGTAGCCATAATTTGTGCGACTCAGGCCAAAACTGCCAAAGTCCGAAGCAGTCGTGTCCTTACACTATTGACTACATAACTGATAATACTTCGAGTTCAGGATTGCTAGTTCAGGATGTATTACATCTTTCATCCGATTGTGAGAATTCATCTAATTGTACTATTCAGGCTCCGGTCATTTTTGGGTATGGCCATTGATCTCTTCTTTGTAGCTCTAATTTTTTGCTCGGAATGCCAACTACAGTAATGAGTAAGGATGCTGTAATTATATTACCATTTTCCGTTCTCTGATTCAGATGTGGTATGACACAAAGTGGTGGTTACCTAAGTGGAGTTGCTCCGGATGGTCTTTTCGGGTTGGGGCTAGGAGAAATTTCGGTTCTTAGTTCCCTTGCCAAAGAAGGATTAGTGCCGAACTCTTTCTCACTATGTTTTGATGAGGATGGATCTGGCAGAATCTTTTTTGGGGACGAGGGACCAGCAAGCCAACAAATGACTTCATTTGTGCCGTTAGATGAGAAATAGTAGATACCATACTAAATTATCTTCATTTTTATGATTATCGTTTGTTATATTTGCTGACTGAAGTCTCTGTCGTACCCAAATCTCTCAGTGAAGCCTACATTGTCGGGGTGGAAGCATGTTGTATTGGGAATTCTTGCCTCAAGCAAACAAGTTTTAAAGCATTGATTGATAGCGGAACGTCTTTTACGTTTCTCCCTGAAGAAGTATATGAAAATGTTGCGATGGAGGTATTTTCTTTTTGTAGTTGAGCCTTGTACTTAATTTATAGTCCGTTTGTTCTTTAACCAGTTCTCCTCTTGATAGTTTGGTAAAAGGTTAAACACTACAAGCACTGTCACCTTTAAAGGATATCCTTGGAAGTATTGCTATGAGATCAGGTGACATCAATGAGATGGAAAACCTTTAAAAGTCTTTCCCCTTGTGTCTTCCTATTTTGTGAATGTCTAATCTTAATATTGTGGTTCTCTGTAACAGTGCAGAAACAATGCCAAAGGTTCCGTCTGTGGCATTGTTGTTCCCGCTAAACAATAGCTTTGTGGTTCATGATCCTGTTTTTCCTATCTATGGCGATCAGGTAGATACACTTTCCTTCTGAGAATTTTCAAGTGTACATATCTGATTTAGTGAACGTGGATAAAGGTTTAGACTTGATTTTTGAAAATTGCCATAATTAGCAGTTAATTGAATAGCTTCCACGTTTAGTGGGCATACAAGTACCATTAGACATTAAATTTGGTTTCATATTAATGAAGTTGACACCCTCTTAATACCCAAGAAAAAAGAGCCCTCAAGGGAATGAATAATAAGAACAACTAAAACATTGTAAGAAGAAAAGAATATCTGTTTAAAGCATCAAGATGAGGTAATCTCCTCTTCTTGTATACATACTAGCAGTTAATTTCTAGTTTTAACTATCTACTAAATGATACGACTGTTATCCCAAGAAAAACACATGATGCGAAGCATCACTTTTTCTTTTTAAATTTGAATATCACATCACTTACGCTGCACGCGTCAAATAAGTAGTACAAGAAAATAATGCCTATGGTGATATTAAAATAGTACTTTATGGGTACAGGGGTTAGCCGGATTTTGCTTTGCTATACTACCTGCTGATGGAGATATCGGGATACTGGGACGTAAGCTCACAATGGTTCCCTTTCGAATGAAGATTACTTATAAATGATATGTGCTGTATGTGTAGTAAGTTGTAGATTTAACGTAAGTGATATTCTTGAAAACTGTCTCGTGCAGAAAATTACATGACTGGATACCGGATGGTATTTGATAGGGAAAAGTTGAAGTTTGGTTGGTCACGCGCAAATTGTAAGATTTCTAGCTGACTCTAGTACTTGTCATGAATTTGCAGCCTCTTAGCAGACCCTTACATCTTGTGCATCATAAGCATAAAAGGAAAAAATTGTGTACTCATTTCTTGAACCTGTATAATTCACACGTGGCTTACTGAACTCATCTCTTTATTTGGGGGGTTTACAACTATAACGCCAACCCCTCCCCCCTTTCTCATTGTGAAGTTACTGTCTCATTTCGACGATTTCCATGTCGCAGGTCAAGATCTCGGTAATGGCAAAAAAATGCCCCTTGCTCCTGCAAAAGATACACCACCAAATCCATTACCAGCCAACGAGCAGCAGAGGGTTCCGGGGGGGCATGCAGTCGCTCCTGCCGTAGCTGGAAGGGCCCCCTCTAAACCATCAGCTGCCGCCCCCTGCTTCATCCCATCCAGCTTTTATACGATTAGATTGCCGCAGCTGCTTCTTCTGGTACTCTACCTTGTTTGTAGTTGCGTGTGATGTAGATTCTGAGCTTTTCTAAGTTTTACATGTAAATGAAGGTCGTTTCTTTACATCTCTTCTCCCCAGCAAGGGCATGTCGATCTTCTGTGTCCTTGCAAGTTGCATCACTGCCATTTTTTTCCCTTTTTTTTTTTGGGCATTATATAGGCCATCCAGTGGGGGGTTGATGATAGTAGTTGCATTTTTGTTTATGTAGCTACACATTCTTCTATCTATATGTTTTATTTTCTAATGTATATTACCATTAGTTGTACTTGTACTTTTTTATAATTTATTTGTGCAGACTAAAAATAATTGTAGTTCTAACTATGGGATTCCCAAGATCAAAACTCATAAAATGAACATAAACGTGATATTTCCTTACTAGAGAATGTTTTTATGCAATATTGGAGACATTCAATCAATGGCTTTCGATACAATTTTGGGTCATTTGGCAGTGGTTTCACTTTTTGTAACTTGTAAGCATGTTTGCTAGCGAGATTAACAAGGACAATTTGTGCAATCAGAGGAACTAAAATCAAAGTTATTTTTCGTTCACATTTTTGTAGATATATTTTCCTTTCAAATAAAGAACAATTTGAGTGTATAACTCAATTGGCAGCTTCACACTAAGTAAATTTACTATTTCTAATCTTGTGCACATGGATCAGCTTATCGATTGAGAGAGAAAATCTCGGATGAACGCATTTTTCATTACAACATTAAATGGATGCATACTTGTCGTCAAATTGATAGATGGAAGAATGGAGTGAATAACAACACCACCTTACCTTAAAGTGCTCTGAATTTTAGATGGTTGAACTTAAAAGTAAATAATAATGAATTTAAGATTTCCCACATTTAATTAGTACCACATCTAAATGTAAAACTGATCCAGCCACTTCCCTATCTTCTAGAAACATACTCATTGGAAATAATTTCAGAACTAATAAAATGTTTTTTTTTTCCTTTTCATGTTCCCTACGTGTGAAGCCAACGCGAATTCCAATACACACGAATAGAATTTTAATGTACTAAAGAATACGGGGCACTATATAATATAATATAATCTAAATTAATTTCATACCCGCCACCGCGTACAGCGTACCACAAATTATTTGGTCCATACTTTCTCAAAAAAAAAAAATATATATTATTTGGTCCATACCAAAAGTTGGACACCATATTATTGGTCATTTGGATCTCTACGTTCAACATTACAAGTTGTATATCAACTAAATTAACTAAGTTTATAAATAAAAATTCCAAATTCTTATTATCACAACTCTTTTGTCGTACCCATCTTGACAACATATTAAGGTGTATACGAAAGCAAAGCAGTTCAAAATTTTTTTCCCCTTTTCTTTTTTAGTACATTTTTTTCCTTTTAAAGTGACTTATTAGTGGATGATAATAAATAAGACATATACTGGTTTACAAAACAATAATTGGAAGCTTGTTTGATTGGAACAAAAGTTAAAGCTAGAAGTTTGGTCTATAATCTAATAGATTTTCAATTAACTTTGAATTATGTATTATGTATTGAATAATTCCTTTAGGTTTCAACTTTTTATATAATAAATTTTTGATCTGTTATACACTTTTTAAAATTCAAAGAACATTTTTTTTATAGCAAATAGACGTAAACAAAAGAACAACGAGAGGAAATTAAAGTAGAGATGGCTGATGGCCCTTCCTCAAATCAAATAAAGACCTATTAAACATACCATTGAAAATTCAATGATCTATCATTGAATTTGAGGATTATTAAATGCCACTCTAAAAAATTGAAGGGCCAAACTTGTAATTTAACTCGAAAAAATGATTGACTCATTCCCTTTTTTTTAGTTTTGAAATTTACTTTTTTATTTAAAAAATTCTAGCAACATTGTAAATACTAAAAAGGACTATTTATTTTTTGTTTTTAAATTTGGTAAAGAATTCAAAATGTTTTGAGAAAAGTAAGACGAAAAAAATAAACAAATCATGAGCAAGAGCAAAAAGGCCAATTATTAGAAACGGAAAAGTTCAAAACCAAATCATCACAAAAAGGAGTCCTTTTATTGAACGGGTAAAAACAAACATTCATTTTAAAAGTATTTTACTAAGCCTCCTCAACCTCAAGTAAATGATTTGTATAATTTGAATTAACAAATCAAACATTAACTTATCTCAACTCATGAAACCTATTTTTAAAAACACATAGAAGCTATGAAAATTACATATACTTGTATATTTTTATGATCTCTTTTATTCGATCGTAGCCGACATGAGCATAATTCAGCGATAATTGACATATACTACTTTATTCTTCGATGTTGGAAATTTGATCTCCCATATCCTCAAATTGTTGTACTAAAAAACCATCGATTATACAGATTAAAACTCACTAAAATCATGACAAAGACGATAAACTTTCTCGAAAAGAAATTAAGGAAGCTAGAAGAATAAAAGGAAAAGAATATAGGTGAAAGTGGAAGATAAATATAGAGCAATAATTGTATTAGTATTAGAGTGGTGAAGAGAGGGTCACCTCTTCTATTCCAAAAGCTGTTCCATTGAAAAGAATAAATAAAAAAGGAAGTGTCTTTTGTCTAACCACCCCACCCCCAAACAAACAAAAGTACACCAAGATGAATTTTTGTGAACCCACTTTCTCTTCTTTTTTTTTTTCGATTAAATATACATCGAATTCGGGACTCAATTTAATAATTTAAACTAGTTCAGCGATAAACGTATCTATATTTTTTTCTAGCTCAATAGGTTAAGATACTTAAAAGTTTTAATTTTAGTGATCTTTAAGACATTTGGTTTGTTTAACCATAAAATCGATATTTTAATTTTAATTCTTATTTCTTCTGTATAATTCTCATTTGTCTTTGTATTAGAAAATTTGATCTTCGTATAATAAGAAATAATATTCTTATCTTCACAGTGAAGGTCCCACAATCTATACATGTTTTGTCCTATCCCATTTGTTTGGAGAAAACATTATTCCAAATTAATTTCACACCAATTAATTTTTTTAATTTCGAGATGTGGACTAACTGTTTCCCTTCCCTTGTCATGACTCAATTCAATAAAATTAAAACTTAATTTGAAGTTAAGGTCGACTAATTCATACAAATACGAGAGTAAAATGAATGTTTGTTTATACTAAAAAAATGGAAAAGGTTGAATAAATGGGGATGATTAAAAATATTCCTTACCCATAAAATGAATAGTTTCATAGAGTGACTTTATTAAATAGGAAGGTGAAAGGGAAAATAGAAACGAAAGTGGCGAAAGAAAAAGTGGGAATTAGGCACACGTATTTACTCAATTCCCTTAATAGAAAAAGAATCAGCTTTATAATCTTTCTACACACACGCCAAACCACCCCTATTTCCAGCCTTTTTAAGTTTTATGCACCACACAATTAATGCATTAATAACTTTCTCATTCACTTTAATTTGTCTTAATTAATTTTATAGTGGTTCGTTCGTTTTGTTAATGTTGCTACATGTTCAAAAAAGTGATCATTTTGATCTCTATTTGTAAAATTTTAACATGAAGACTCTTTAATACATATTTATTGATACATTTCAAAAAATTTAGTGAGTGAAGTATCATGCTAAAATTATGACATAAATAAATGAGATTGAATGGAACAAAATTTTTACTTTCTAAAAGCACAAGGATCGAAACAGACATTTAAAAAATATAGAGACTAAAACGAGCAAAAATTAAAATTATATAGACTAAAACAAACAAAACCCAAAAATATACGCATCAAGATTATTTAAACCTAAATTTTTTTTTAGTTGAAAGTTAAAATTTGCAGTCGTACACTTAGTAATGTTATATTTTAGGAAAGATTTGGAAAACTATATTATTTTTTTTTAAAGAAAATCGAAGATTGCATTGGTTGGGGAGTAAAAGTTTAAAAAGAAATTTACTTTAGAGAGGTTAAATGGTCCAAGATATAACTGTTTATGGTTTGTTTTTTTTTTTTTCCAAGTGGAAAGGAGAAGATTCGGACTCATGATCTCAATTCAACATCCACCTCAATCGACCTGGATGACTCCAATATTTTCACAGGACGACCAAAATAAATATTTTGAAAATTTAAAGAACAAAATCTAAAGGCTTGAAAGATTAACACTAAAATAAATATATATTGTACTAAAAAGAAGACCGAAATAAACCTGGTCTACCTTTGCATGCATTTTTTAACCCATCGCTAATGGTTTGATTTATAAGAAGAGTTAGTACTAATTACCAATAACTTTTGAACTCAAAATGAAATTAAAACCACTGAAAAAGACAGGATAAAGACAGAAATGAGAGAGAGAGATTATTTTATTTTAAGACCTTAAAAAAATACAAACAAAAAAGTTTGTTTGGTTTATTTTTGTAAATTAGAGAGAGAAGTGGAGAGATGAAGGAAGGAGGGTGGCCACTTTCCTTCGGTTCCTCTCCAGCTGAACAGAACAGTCCTCCTCAAACAAAAATTAAATAATTATTATTATACAATTTTATATATTTCCTCAGAAAACGACATGCCCACTACTTTTAATTTTCTTCCTACCTAGGCATGTCTGTCGTTTACTTGTTATTTRAGCCATCCAACCCATTTTGATTAAATTAATCAGTTGTCTGTTTTAATTGATTTAATCCCATTTTACAATTTCATCACCTACCTTCAAACTTAATGATTGTAAATCAAGCTTGTTTAGAAACAAATAATGTGAAGGAAAATTGAAATACGCTAAAATAAGGAGGGAGACTCCATATGTTCYAAGGTAAAGGCGGTGCAAACAATAATATAGCATTGGGTTTTAAAACTYGTTAGAGAAGAATTGAGCCATGACTCCGTTTGAATTTTTAAACTTAAATAAAAGGGCAATAATCTTCCAAAGGATGGACCCAAAAGTACCTGCTCATTAAGAAAAGTATATACACTTGTTTTAATCATCTTAAAAATCTTGGCTTTTTAAAGTTAATGCAACGTCCACAGCAACATAAACCAAGCCACAGCCAGGATTGTTTTTGCTGATTGGGGGGCCACGACCCAAATGGCTATATAACAAGGAGGCCTGTTTCATGAAACCATCCCAAAACCAGAAGAGCGAGAGAGAGAAAATCAGCCTTTTCCTTAATGCCCTTTTCTCTGCTTCTTTGAAGGGAAGACAGAGGATCCATTGTTTCTACCCAAGTTACCTGTACCTTGCCATTTTCTCTACAACTCAATTTGACCTTTCAGATACCGTTTTCCCTCTTCCAAACACTGTCTTCCCACTTCCTTTTTCCTCATTTCAAAGTTTCTCTGGGTTTTTCTGCAACTTTTTGTTTTCAATTGTATTGATTAAAGTGCGAAATGGGTGTTGGTGGGACTCTGGAGTACTTGTCAGATTTGGTGGGCAGTAGCCATAAACACAAGAAGAAGAAACAGCTTCAAACTGTGGAACTCAAGGTCAGAATGGACTGTGATGGCTGTGAACTCAAGGTCAAGAATGCCCTCTCTTCACTCAGTGGTATGTCTAAAGAAATCCTCTCTTTTTTTTTTCCCCTTCAACTGTTCTCTCTTTCTAATGCCTAAACTTGTCCAATTAGAGAGAGGTTTCTAACAAAATGTGGTGTGTTTTGAAGGGGTGAAATCTGTGGAGATAAACAGGAAGCAGCAGAAGGTGACGGTTACAGGATATGTTGAAGCAAGCAAGGTGCTAAAGAAGGCAAAATCGACGGGGAAGAAGGCAGAGATATGGCCGTATGTTCCCTATAGCTTAGTGTCACAGCCTTACATTGCTCAGGCTTATGACAAGAAGGCACCACCGGGGTATGTCAGAAATGTGGAGCACACTGCCTCCACTGCTTCTGTTACCAAATATGAAGACCCTTACATCAACATGTTCAGTGATGACAACCCAAATGCCTGCTCTATAATGTAATGTAATTCTGGTACAAGTCTAATGTTTTGTACCACTCTCTGTCTTTGTGACAGTTTCTTCTTCTTTTTAAGTCTCTCTCCCTCTCTTCTGCTAATATTTTTGTCATCGGCTCAATAATTCTGGTATGATACGATATATTACTATGTGTAATGGAATCATTTTATTGAGAAGAAAGGTCAACTTGGGATAAATGATTAGAATATCTGGGGTTGTTAGCTGTTAATAGAGATGTAAGAGATTACTTTATTTTTGCTGTTGGTACAAAAGGTTGCATGGTGTTGTAATTTCTTGTTTGTGAGACGACTTTCACTTGTCCACAGCTGTTCCTTCACCTAAAAAACAAGATTCCAACCTGGTTATTAACTGTTAGGAGGGAAAAAAGAAGAAAAAGAACTCAGCTTTATCTTAAAAGATCAGAAACCATAAGTGTTATTGAATTGAGAAGCAGCGGGATGCTTATGTATCTGCTTTCGGTTTGGAGAAGAGCCTAAAAAATTTGAACACAAAATTCAAATTATTTCAAACCGCATTTGGTCCCAGCAAACCAAGAAAAGGTAAGTGCAGAGAACAAAATTACAAACCAAGCCTGCCTTTTCTTTTTCTCTCTCTTCACAGAACGTGAGGAAAGAATCCTACTTTCTTTGCTTTTGGCTTCAGGCCCTTTTTCTCCGTTAACCTTTTTCTCAGATCCAATGGTACATAAAGAGATATGGCAGTGGGAAAAAATAAGGGTGTTTTGTGTGTATTAATTTTGTGTTCTTTGACAATTCAATCATACTAAAACAGAACATGTTCGAACAAATGTGCCCATTTGATTCCATTTGAAAAAGTTACTGACTACTTTTACAAAGTATAATAGCACCCGGCATGTAAATACTGTCATAGCTTGTAAAAACATCAAGTACATGTTTTGCTGATTGAAAATGAGCAATTTCAACCATGTCCAGATGGGATTTTCAGCTAAAATGGACTGTTAATCCTTCTGGTGGGTATTTGGAGAAAAACCAAGTATTCTGCCTTAATATTCAGCTTGGGTTCCAGATCCTTGGAAATTTCAGAAAGATGTACACTTCTTTTGCATTGCCAGTTAGCTTCGACTTAAATTCTGGCTAACCAAGAGGGGAAAAAAAAGCTCATGAATACAAGACGACGACGTAGGAAGCATGTAATAATGATTTCCTATTTGAGATACAGTTTCGAGATAAGCATTGTGACTCTACTTTATGAGATGGGCGAAAAAAATGGAATGCATTCAAATAGCTCAGTGTCGTGTGCATGACTTTGAAGAGACCAACAAAGGGAAGTTTCATCTGATTGAATATATATATACAAGTCAGAAACTCACATACTCTGCGTTGTCTATCTTCAACAAATTAGTAGGAAAATGGACATCATTTCCTTCACTTTCTATTTCCTGAGTAGACTCCAACGAAATTTATATCATACACAAGAGTTGCATTGCCAGGTATATTGCAGTCACCTGTAAAGACAATACAATACAAATGGCATTAACACTGTCCATGGTTTACTTTGTAATTTTGTATTTCTGTTTCCGTAGTAGCGTAAAACAAATCTGGAGGCAAAGCAAATACACTAGCAAATAGCATTCCCCAAAATAAACTAGAGCAATAATCCCAACAAGGAGTTTCTGACAATCACTGATAAGTTGCAACATTGTCGTACAAATTTAGAAAGCCAAGGCTCAAAACAAAAGCTGTTTGGTTTAAAGAATTGGACCTGAAAAGCAGCCTGCTGGTTCTGGTCCATATGCTAAATGTGGAGGAATCTGAAGCTTACGTTTGCCACCTGGCTTAAATCAGTGGGGCAATAATTCTTAGAACCCATTCAGAGAGCAAAGAAAACCACAAAATCCTACTTATGTTGTCAGTAGACGTACCTACTAGCATTGGAGGTACTCCTTCACCCCCTAATATTCCCTGATCCAATCCTCTTATTACCTGGTAACAAACTTATGAATATTAGTCCTTATCCAATGGGTCAGTGTGGTTAGTAATTTTTTTTACTCGGATACCCACACTCAGACATGGGGAAATGACTGTAGTTAGTTAATGAATGTTTTATCTATTATGTCAACTTAATGGTTGGTTGCAAGTAAATCAAAAGCTAGTTTTGCAGGTAGAATCTTCCTCATAATCTATGTACGGGAGAAGGAAAAACTTCACTGCCCACTGCTCACCGATCTTGAKTACAGAGACCTTTCTTGCATTCTCATTCAGCTCTTTCCTTTTCAAATCATTAAATTAAACACCCACCAATTCTTTCGACATCTTTGAGCATGTGAACAATTGGATTTGTGGGAAAACTAACTGCAAATAAGGTCTCTTAGAAGATAGTTATATCTTGGGAGATGAATGCCAATCAACTCAATCCTGGACAGGCTATTCTGTTGAGTGTTGACAATAACTTCAGATATATATTTTTTGATCACTTTTTCCTCTTAATCAATATCATTGCTCCCAAATACTGTAGCCACCCACTCTTAAATAAGTTGGACAGACTTTTCAAGCTCATATGCTTCTGAAAAACCGTACTGCAAATTTAAGCAATACCTTGCCAACACCAATACGCATGGTGAGAGGTCTAGCACGCTTATAGCTGCTGTCAAACACTATCCCATCAGCAAACCGTGCAGTGTAATGAACCTGCATTTGAAAGGAAATATAAGCCAAAAACAGTTCATCAAATCCTGTATGAAGGTTGAAACAATTTTCAATGGCAGAAGATTTTATTTTGCAACTCATAACATAAACACTTCACATGCGGACTCAGCAGAAAGGCCTAAACGATTAGATAATGATAAATCTATTTATCAAAACTACGTATTCGAGGGAATTTCCCATTACAAGGAAGCAATTAAACATAATTTCAGCGGAAACAATGAGCTATGTTAAACCACAATCAAATTTGATGGTGTGAAGAAAAGTAAAATGAGAAATATACTTCATGATTGAAGATTGGAACTGACATTGATAAGCTCACCATAAGGAACTTTCTCACCGGAACCCAGGGCGATGTCACAATAGCCAAGCCCAGAAGGCACATAATTGAACTCGCATAGAGGATCCCCAACAGTCGCATAGTATTCAATTCTGGTTGCGCTGGCATCCATGGGAGACAGAGCCAGAACCGAAGCAGCCAGAAGCCCAATGCCCATATTGCATATTGCCTTCTTAGAAGCAGAAACTGAAGAAGAAGAAGAAGAAGAAGGAGCGGATTTAACAGTTGAAGACAATTTGGGGGTGAAGATTTGGGAATCCTGGGCTCTTGGGGCTGTGAATATTAACGAGGGGAGTGCCATTTTAGTATGATCGGATTCTGCTCTATCTGCTGCTTAATGGTTGAAGGTGGCAACTGTGATGCTCTGAGGCAGTGGTTTGAATGAATGCGGACATGGATATGGAGAAGCGTAGGGACCCACAAGTGGAAAATATGGGCCATTAGATATGGATAAGAGCCTTTTAAAACCGAAACTTTCAGTTGGTCTCTTGGGCCCAGACCTCAATGTTTTTGGGCCTATGATGTTGAGACTTCAGAGCTGAGTCATCCCTACAAAAAAAAAAGCGAAATTTTCAAATATTTAAAAATATGTTATATTACAAATTTAGTCCCTCATGTTTGAGTTTACCTTCAATTATTTAAATATTTGTATATTATAAAAATAAAATGTAGATCATACATTAATATGATTGTATCATTAAGAAATTAATGAGACGACTAAAGTAATTTATAATTTAATAGACTCATGCACTTTCATTGAATATGAATTTTTATTAAGTGAATGTCCATTAACTTTTACTATGTTTAATGGGCTTTAGAAAATAATTTATAAATTGGATGCAAGGTTATCGTCTCCAATACACTAAACATATTTTAATTCTCTTTTTTTTCGTTTAATAGTGAGAATTTTGAGTTATGGTGTGTTTGGTTGAAGAAGATCTATCCCATATACTGAGGAGCTACTGAATTCGATTGTAGTATAATGCGATTGATGATCGTTCTTGCATCTAATAGTTTGATATGCATGATTATGGAGTTATCATTCTTGTTAGTAATCCCAACATCGATTTGTTTTTTATACTTCAAGTTAGCTTCAATTTGATTTATATGGTTTGGTTAAACTTCAAATCGTACCTACCATTGCTAATAGGACAAGTTTTACATTTCTGTGACACTAAGCTAAGTGTTTCGAATTTGGATGATAAGTTTAAAATGAGTAAAAAATATGAGTAAAGAGGTGAATATAAAATTGATTAGGGATAGTTTATTAACTTTAACCAAAGTTTTAAGATTAAATTTAGATAGTCACTTAAAAATTACTTTCTCTTCAAATTTAAACTTATTATTGATGTAAAAGTTAGTCATCTTTAAATTATTTTAAAAATTATATATAATCAATTAGATAAAAGGTCAGTTATCTTGTCATTTTCACCATGGTCGAAATTAACAACTACTAAACCAACAATTTCAATATTTTTAAAACAAAAAATTACATATTACATCTTTTCAAATAAAATTTTAGGATGAAAGTGGACATAAATCATGCCCTCTAGTCGGTAAATAATGCATATAACTAGTCGGAAAACAAAAAATAAAAATAAAAATAACACGTCAATTTTATTCTTATTTCAATAATTATTACAATTTCTTTAATAGAATAAACATTACAACTACGTAATAAAGAATAGAACAATATTTACACTCACATTGTAAGTATTCTATAGTTAYTACTGACTGAGCCTAGAAGTTGAAATCTCTATCATATTAGTGGGAGATGTAAATAATAGACTTTTGTGGAATATAAATAAATATGAGTAATCAAAGACTAGACTAAGGCGTTATGAATTTTTTGGTGTCGCCGCAGCCCATTATAGAAGAAGGCAGCCGCCCAACCTTGTGAATCCCTTCTTCAAACACAACTCCCATCCCCATGAAGAAATGGGCCTCGATATGGCAGTGGAAGGCCCAAACCCCAGGGTTGTCCGCCACAAATCTCAGAGCCGTCCACCCGAAAGGGTGCACCGCCACCGTGTTCTTCATGATCGGATTCTCCAAATTGTACCCGCTCGGATCTTTGTACACATCGAATTTCCCTTCCCCGTACCCCAACACCCAGAAATCGTGCCCGTGGAGATGCCACGGGTGCGTTTCGCTGTTGTTCGAGTTCATCGTGTTCGCGTTCTGCAGAATCACGTCCACCGTCGCGTTGAAATCCAACCGGTAAATGGCGTCGCTCACCGTCGCCTCCGGGTTCGGCGCCGGGTTGAAAATGTCGTAGCCCTTGAAGTCGTATCCGGTGGGGGGTTTGGCCTGGCTGAAGGTGTGGAGAAGATTCTTCTTCAGAGATATAAGGTATGGGGTGTGGGGCATGTTGAAGGATACATTGTTTACCGACCACCGCCGGCGTCCCTTCACGGTGTTCTGCGTGTTCAGAAATACGATTACTCTGTCCGTGGTTTTGGGCGGCGCGTGGATAAAACCCCGCCGGGCTTTGATGGCGTGACTTTGGGCTAATCGGGGCTTGACGTCGTCCCAGGCGGGCCCCGCCRGAGGAGTCGTCGGAGGCGGTCTCCGTTGGTGGTTTGGGTAGTAATTGAAAATGGCCAAACCAGGGGCGGTGGCGGGTTTCCGGCTGACCACATGGGTTGCGGCCCAGTAGTTTCTAGAAGGGTCTTGGTCGGCTTTAATCAATACGGAATACGTTTCTCCGGAGTATATGAACAAGTTTTTCACTTGAAATGGCTCAACGTAATGCCCATCGGCTTCAACCACCGTCATATTATGACCCTGTTCCACAAAAAAAACAGAGCAATTTCAGTACTAATTCAGACCCATTTCTTTTTATAGCGAGTGAGTGAAGTGAAATAAAATTAGATGCAATCTCATTCTCACCTCAATTTCGAAACTGAGGGCTGAAAGAGAAGTGAGGCTTGAAACTCTCAATCGGTAAGTTTTTCCGGGCACGACTGCGAGTGCGTGAGGAAAACATTCTGGGCTGGACGAGTTGCAGCGACCTGATTCTGAAGGTGAAGAACCCAGCTGAGAGCAATTGAATCTCCCCCTTCCTTGGATCAGAAGCGACTGCGAGAATTATAAAAACGAACAACCGAATTAGTAAAATGTAAAATCAATTGGATTTGAGTGGAAATTAATGGTAAGAGGCAGAGGGAGATTTTTTACATCAGGCTCTCCGACCCAGGTGAAGCCATTGCCGGGGGCAGCCAATCCGGCGGCGTGTTCATGGCTGCTGTTGTGATACCAATCGGTGAATATCATATTACGATCGTAATCGTAGGAGAAAGGCTCAGATTGTCCTTCTGGAAGCCACACGATGATCGATCCATAGAGGCCCTCTTCTCTTTGCATACCGTAGTGGGCATGGTACAGGTATGTCCCTGGCTGCACATTTTACACATTCAGAACGTCAACGCCTAAATTGTCGCTAAAAATTCTCTCTGTTTTTTCATTTGTTAAAATCCTTACCCTGTCGACAACGAACTGGTATTTGAAGGTTTCTCCAGGCAAAATAGGACACTGAGTGACACCTTCTGTTCCATCACTCCATGGCGTTCCAATCTTCGATCATGATACACAAAAATCCAAACACGTAAGAACCCAAAAAAAAAAAAAAGGAAAAAAACCAGCTGCGACGTGAAATTGGGATTGTACCTGCCGGATTCCATGCCAGTGGATGGCAACGTTTTCTGTGCCCAAGCTGTTCTTGAGGTCGACGATGATGGTGTCGCCTTGGTGGGCGTAGATGGTGGGCCCAGGAGTTCTGCCATTAATGGTCATGGCGAGCTTCTTATAGCAATCTGGGGATTTGAACTCTGACCTCACTTCCCATTTATAATACAAAGTTCTTGCTTCCGCAGCTGGAGATTCCAATAAGAAGATCACCAACACGCACAAAAGAATTAGCAGGATTCCTCTGCCTCTGCTCTGTAACACCGAAGCCATTTCTTCAATCGTTTTAGTTCTTTCCGAACCCCAAATAGCATTGAGATTGATGGGTTTTGCAGAAGAATCAATTGGAATTTCGGTCCATATATAATACATCCTTCAAGTCTTGGTCAAAGTAAACGGTTCATATATTTCTCAGGTATCTAGGGCAGCTTCATACCAAATTCTTCATTTCATTTGTTTTTCTTTAATTTGTATTATTATATTATGCTTGTTTTAATTAGGTTTATTTGTATTTGAATTATTCAGATAGTAAATTAGTTATTAATCATAAATATGTGGGAGTGAGAAAGGTAGTTATCTATTTAAATTATGATGTTATTAAAATATCTTATCCACTTCAACTATATTCAAATTAATTAGTTTTTATTCATATTTTAGTAGTACAACTAACGTATTATGTTGTATTTTAAAGATAGTAATTCTATTAATAAAACTTTCGCTGTTTTTCTTTAACATCACATAACAAAACTTTATATTAAATATGATCTTTTGTTCCACAATTCATCCAATATTTAAGATAATTCCAAATCTAGTATAATTGAAGTGAAATATTATATATATATATATATTTTTTTTTTTTGTATAAGATGATAAAAAGCTAATAGTTGAAAAATAATTATGAATATACAACGAAATAAAACACACATAAATCAATGATCATTACGAATATAGTCCATCAAAGTCTAGGTTAATTAAGAATTTTTATGATTAAGACAAAAATATATTGGTTACCATCACTAAAATTAATAAGTGATAAATGATTTAAAAAAAAGATATATTTTTTAGTATTATTTACTATTAGTTTCTATACTTAACTTTTGACTATAAACTACAAAAATAATTGTTTACTCTCAAATCACCCCACGTGTTGTTTTGTACAATTGTGCACTGGTGGGTGGGGTTTCTTAAATAGTCAAATTAACTTTTAAACATAATAAATTCATTTGTATACCTTTTAATCATAATCATATGAGAATGGTTTTTATCTGACCATTTCCACTCCAAATTTCTGAGATTTCACATTTTACATTTTGTTCCTGTCTTTTTGTAATAATCAAAATTAAAAAAAAAAAGGATAAAAGAACGGAAAGTAAAGATAGTATTGGTTGAAAAGTACGCAAAAGAAAAGAATCACATGATATTCAAACAAGATGGCGAAGGGGTTGTTTGAAAACTGAAAAGGACGCGGATAAAAGAGAAATATGATAATATTAGAAAATACTTCTAAAATTTTCACAATTTCAAAGTTAAAAAAATAACGATGCACTTATTATTATTATTATTTTTAAGTAGCTTTTGTTTTTCTAAAATATAAATTCTCCGAGATCTTTTAAATTAATATTTCATAAATGTTCAAATTTATTATTATTATTTTTTCGAAATGTTAAAATTTATTTTTTATATATATATATATTTTACTTATGGACAATACCCAAGTCTCTTGTCACTCTGCTTTCTGAAAGTACAGATTAAAATTTATTATTATTTACACTTTTAGATTTTCATTTTTAAATAAGAATGTTTTCACTGCAATACCCTAAAATATTAATGTTCAGAGATGAGTAGTCCATATCTATTATAAACCTATGTAAGATCAATTTATTTTCGACAGGTATAATTTTATGCATTTATCTTATTTATTTTACCTTCTCCTTCCCATTTGGTTTTCTTATGTGATTAATTTCTTCTTCTTTCGATTTTCAGCCGGTATAATCTATCCATCAATTTATGGCAACTTTGATTAACCACGTATTTTTAATTTCAGACACGTCATGATATTATTATATATACCATTCTCAATTGTAGTTTATATGATTATAGCATATTGTATACATTACTCCTAAATATTATACTTCATTGTTGAGAATGGTAATTCAATATATACATAAAATAGAAACACTAATTATATATTACATTTCTCATTATTCTATACTATAGTCCTTAGAATTGTTCCAAAACTACATGTTTACCAACAAAATTAATAAGTTATCGTTATTATAAAAATGATATAAGTTATCAGTAACTTTAAATCATCCGTAACACTTATGTGTATTGAATTGTTGGAATTTAAGAATTCTAGTTAAATGTGCAGTGAGTCACAATAAATGTAGTTAAACGTTGGAAATACATCGAAATGCTAAAAAAATAGTAAATCACTAGAATAACACACTGTAATAATGATAAAAGCCGGGGGAAATAACAAGAGTAGCTGAAAATAAAGTATTCAATTGCTTTCGATGGATTAAGAAACTTCAATAAATAAACATAGTTATTGGGGGTCAACGGATGAACAATTGAAACATGGAAATAAGAAAAGATTAGGATTAATCTTTAATGTCAAAATATCATGTCAAAGCGAGCATAGCTCAGTGGTAATTGACAAATACTTCCAACCAAGATATCATRTCAAAACGAGCATCGATCTTTGGAAATGGTAAAGCTGAAAATAAAATATATATGGAACGAGTATTAATAATAATCGTATATCGATGCTTTCAAAGAGAGAATAAAAAAATAAATATTTAAAGTTTAATTGTTTTGACTAAATTCAATAAAGATTTCTTTATTACTACTTTGCCCCCAAATTACGGCCTCTTTTGTCCAATCCGCGTAACGTAACCCTGATTTAGATAGAATCAAACCTCCTTAAGTTATTTCAAAAATTAATGAACTTTTCCAAGTAATCAGCGCTGAAACATTTTTGTTTTCTTTCGAGTGATTCAAGCTTTATTTTCCTCAGAAGTTTCTAAGAAACCTCATGGGAATTTCGTATATTATTATTTTATTTTCACTACTTTTATATGCGTTTGGAATTTTGGATTGTCCTTTTGTTTCTATACATGTTCAAAGGAGCAAGTCACCACCAAACATACAATTGATAATATATAATAAACTTTGTAATATTTGGATTGCAAAAAGGGTAAACATGGAATGGAAATAGATTATATAATAAAATCTGAATGTGGGTCACATTATTTTGATCAAAAGAAGAGAGCAAGCTGTGGAACATAAACTTTAAGAACAAGCAATTTGCGAAGAGATGGGCTTGAAAGGGAATGATGGGTTCGATGCATAAGTGAAAGTGATGGGTTTGGAACTGAAAATTGGCTGCCCATTGTTGACCAAACACTCAGAGTCAGAAATGGCTAGGATGGTGGGATCAATGCTTAATGTAGTTTGAAATCCAGTGCAATCCAATTTCACGTCCGATTGAGAACAATGGCAATTGTTGCTTATTGTGACTCTCCATTCTGTCATTCCATGGATCTGAAATCCAGTTTCCTTTTGGCTGATTGTTAGGTTGTTCAAATAACACTGGCAATTCCCTGATGGAAAATAAAAATGATAATAATAATTGAAGTCTTAGAAATGTAATAAACAAGAAGAACAAATTTCAATGAAATACATTATATTGGTTAATAATATATTGTATACCTTTGGAAAGGAGAGAGAGGAAGAGAAGTGCAGTGAAAAGCTTGACGAAGGTAGCCATTGCCATTTTGGTGTTTTCTTTTTTGTTCGAATAATAAGGTTTGATTTGTGTGGAACAATGAACTTTGGGGACGGTCCTATTTAAAGGGCTTTGTGTAAATTGTAAATATGGTAATCGGTAATAAATTAAATACATTTCATTAATTGAGATTCATTTCCGTTTCCGTTTAGGAGAATTCCGATCCCTAAGATATCTCGGACGCAATTTAGTGCGGTAATTAATCAAGTAACGGCGGACATCATAAATATTTTACAATCCGATGTTTAACTTAAACGTTTGAGAATTTGTATACAGTACCTTTAATTTTACAGAAGATCGTTTAAAGGGCATTATGGACATTTGATTATTATTATTTTTTATATAGAAATTGTGTGTAGGTTGTTTCCAAATCCAAATAGATATTTCGAACATGTCCATATAAGAAAATATTTTCAAAATAGATTTTCAGGTTGAATGGAGAGAGTTTTTTCTTACCAAGTTACCCTCTCTTTTATTTTGCTGATTTTATTTATTTAACTTTTTTTAAGACTAATTTCATTTATGTTAATTAATTAAGAAATTTATTATAAATATTTGTTTAATATGCATATTTTAAAAAGTACATAACTTCAACTTAGTTGTAATTGGCATCTCCCCATCCTACTTGTTATACTAAAAAAGGGACATTTATTTATTTCTTTTTTAAATTGAGACAATTATTTCACATATGCTAGTTACTTACTTTGATTGTTTTATAATGGAATTACTTGATTTGATTTATTACATATTTAAAAATTAAAAATCACAATTTTATTTATTATTTGTGTAATATTTTCTTTTAATTAAATGCAATTGGAAAAGAGAATTAAGACGCGGAAAGAATGAATCTGCTATTGGAAAATAAAAATAAATTGCCAAGAAAGAAATGAATTGTCGAAAAGCTAAAAATAGCTGCTAGTAAAATAAAGTCGTTGGAATGATTAAAAACATACACTGTTGACTTTTGCATGAAGGTTAGAGCCACGAGAGATGAGAGATGAAAATCAAATGACAACAAACATGGTTAAATTGTGAGTTTTTAGTAAAAAAATGTTAACAAATGTGGTTAATGATTTTGAGGATTAAAAGAATCATGGGTAGGATAATGGAATTTAAAATTTTCTTTGTTGAATATTCTATTAAAATATAAATATGTAATAATACATAAAAATACTAGCCTTGAATGACTATTAATTCATTTAAAAATTAATATATTCTAAAAATATTTATAAATACAATAAGATGATATTAAAAAAAGAAAGATATTTATTGAGGATAATTTAACGACAAAAAAATCTGATTCAAATCTCAAAATCTATATTTATTTATAATTATAAATATATAAAAAATGTGAAATATCATGTCTTTGTCTATTGTCTAATACGAGCCCGACAATTATTAAACGAGCCCAATAAGAAGATCATTTGGTTTTGGGCTAGCTGGGCCTGGAATCGTTCGGACCAACATAAATTACAAGCCCACGTTGTCCGGTCTTCCCTCACCTGTGTATGAGATCCCGGCGGGTTCTGAATCTCTGATTCATCGCGCGAAATGGAAATGGAGTCACCCGATTCTCAGACTCAGAGAATTTCTGATTCCGAAACCCTAAGTTCAGGCATCGAGGAATTGACGATATCGTCGGACCCGCTAACCTGTAAGTTCAGTTCGCTCAACAATCTAGCCCACGAGCTTTCCTCTCTTCAGGATCACGCGTCCCGTGGATCATGGCGTTCAATTACAGATAAGGTTTCTAGGGCACGATCTCTCTCCTTGCTGCAGAAGCCCCATGACCACCTCACCTACCTCTCTTTCAATGTCCTTGCCCTCGTCAAACTCCGTCGTTTCGTGGAAGCTTTGGCGGAGCTCGATTCTCTGGAAGATCTCGATAGTTCTCAGTACCGGTATGAATCGTATCCAAGTGTGTACCCTAATCGGACCGGCTCGATGGTCCCCTTTTCACTCCGCTGGCTGCACGCCCTGCTCCCTATCAAAATGGGTGAGCGTCAAGAAGGGTTGGACCGGTTCTACGAACTTCTGGATTTTGTACAGTCAAAATTGGAGGATAAAGAGACGAAAAGGCTCGATGCCTCAGTGAATCTGTGGAAGAAAAGGGAAGTGTTTGTGACGAACTGCATTATTGGTTATCATTTGAGTAACAAAGAGTTTTCTGTTTGTTTAAGTCTGATTGATAATTTGCTTAGTCGGGATTTTTCAGACCCTGCTCTGATTTCAAAACTTGGGTATATCCAAATGCACGTTGGTGATATAGACGGTGCGAAGCGTTCGTTTAATCGGATTGAGGAGATGGTTAAAGAGGGAAAGAGCAGTGGGTCATTGAGCGAGGTGGAGATTAAAAACCTTGTGAACAGGAACAAGGCGTTGGTGTTTATGGTGGGTAAAGACTATCTATCGGCAGTGAGGGAATACGAGGAGTGCATCGAGAGGGACCATACGGACGTCGTGGCCATTAACAACAAGGCTCTTTGCTTGATGTACTTGCGGGATTTAGCAGATTCCATTAAGGTGTTGGAAAATGCTCTGGAAAGAGTTCCCACTGTGGCTCTCAATGAAACAGTGATCGTGAATCTGTGTAGTATGTATGAATTGGCTTACGTTAATCACTCTGATATTAAGAGAACGCTCAATAGCTGGATTGCCCGTGTTGCTCCTGATGATTTTGATTCTTCGAGTACTCGGATTTAAGGTAGTTTCTGGTGTATTTACCTTCAACATAAAATCTTATGCACGAATTTGTGCCCCACTTTTTTAAGCCTGTGGGTTTTAAGTTTATCTATGTATGAATGGGTGTCATCTGCCTCCTTGTCTATCTACTGTGTTATAAGTTGTAGCCTGTGAGTTGCCTTCTAGAATGGTCTGGTAATTGTTAGTGCCATGAAAATGGTGTATTGAGTTGGTTAACTGTTATGCTGGAATAAACGTAGAACTTTGCTTCCTTACCTTTTACCAAATAGCGGTTGATGGTCCTTTTTGTCTAAAGCCTCACGGGATTGAATTTGTCTGCATTTCTAATGATTTTGTGTCTGCTCTGAGTGGTAACTAGTAATATAGCCAATCCAATATCCACTCGTTCTAGACCAATAAATGCATCCCAGCCAGTCAAATCCCTTTTCTTTTGTCTGAGATTCAACTTATCTTCATGCTTACTGATCAAAACTGGTTCAACTCCTTGAGAGAATAGTGTTGAAGGAAGGTTGAGGAAAGGGGGCATTTGAAGTGGAGGATTTCCTCGGATATTTCTTATTTCCATACCGAATTTTCTATTATTGGCAATTCCTTGGCTTCTTTTTTTCCATTTGAGTGAGACATCATTTTATCAATTGGGTCATTGCAATGCTACAACAAGGCTATTTACTGAGCTACTGATTTATTCTTTACATTCTTACTGTATTAGTTAGATTTCATGTAGTCCAGAGTTAAAAGAGGGGAGGCTAGGATTCGGAAGCAATATTTCCTACTCCTCAAAACTTTATTTCATGTTGAATCTGTAATTTTAATTGAGGTTCCACCATGATTCATGAATGATGCATGTACTGAACAAAATTGAATTTGTTCTCTTTTCATAATTTCTTTCTTAAAGAATAAATTTGCTTTGCTTTGGAAATGCTTTGATCAGGATTTTTTTCTCTACAAAAACTATCTTACATGTGCAGTAAATATATGAATAAAAACTCTTGGGAGCTGCCTAAGTTTATTTCTGGGAAGCTAATCTAAATTGAATTAACAACCGTATTCAAACGACACCATGGCCATTAAAAAATTTTGCCTTTTTTTTTTCTCTCCTTTTCTTTAGGGCGCTGCAAAATTGATATAAAAAGGATCTCTCTGCCCTGTGTTTATTGTTTCTCGGGTAATTTTCATTTTTTTAGCTGGACAATTACGAAGGGGGAGATCACCTTTAGAATGGTTAATAGGTGCCTTAACCATTTAAATTATGTTTAAATTGATAATCTTTAATTAGTTTGATGAAGGGAATTTTATAAATGGGGTCGATACAATATGAATGTTTTTGGGTTGATTATTGACCATTAATGTTTAAGAAATTAATAATTTTTTTATTTCAAAATTTCAAAATTCGTGACATGAGTTATTGCCCAAAGGCAAATCAAACAAGTCCATGCATCTTTATTTTAGGTTTTTCCGTGGCCTAAATTCTCATCCCACATATACGGCTAAATATATTAACTTAAATTTTATTTTATCTTTTCATTGATTAATTAAGAGTAGCAAAAATATGGAAAGAAATATATGATAGGGCAGAATCATCTTCGTTAAGAAGACCTGGCTTCAAAGGTTCCATCAATATTCCAAAACGATACTGCTTGAAAATAGTTTTTGCTGTCATATCAAAAAGCAATAGAAAAGATGCAACAAAAGTCATTCTTAACGTTTCTTTATGATCAATTTTCTGTTAATCTGGAGTTTGGTTTGCAAAGAACAGCCTCCGGAAGCTAAGGACTTCTTCATCCAAGGACCAAGCTCTTGACTTTAGCTTCAAGACAATCAAACCCCCTACACCAAGAATCCTCTCTTTTCTTCACCCATTTATAAACCACTCCATTCCCATGGCGTCGAAGACTAAGAACACAAACAAAACAAAACTTGAGCCTGCAACTATTTCCCAGAATACCCAATGGAGGCTTCAAGTTCGTGCAAGGATGGTGCAGCCGAGATCGTCTTCTTCGACTTGGAAACCACGGTGCCGAATAGAGTGGGGCAGCGGTTTCGAGTATTGGAATTTGGTGCCATTGTTGTCTGCCCCCTTAAGCTCGTGGAGCTTGAGAGCTTCACCACCCTCATTAGACCAACGGATTTGTCAGCCGTCACTTCGAGGTCCAGCCGACGTGACGGGATAACAAGAGAAACCGTTGCAACTGCACCATTGTTTGAGGAAGTTGCGGACAAGATATTCAGCATCTTGAATGGAAGGATATGGGCAGGCCATAACATTCAAAGATTTGACTGTGTTCGTATCAGGGAGGCGTTTGCAGAGATTGGCAGGCCTGCTCCTACGCCAGTCGGGATGGTTGATTCTTTAGGAGTCTTAACTGCAAAGTTTGGCAAGAGAGCTGGAAATATGAAGGTAAGAAAACAACATTAGAATTAGAATCATGAAAAAGAAAATCATAACATCCAGAATAGAATCCTCATATTTTGAACTGTTTCATGTTTAGATGGCATCATTGGCTTCTTACTTTCAGCTGGGGCAGCAAAAGCACAGGTACATAATATTAGATCAACTCCCTCCCTCTGCCTTTTTGTTATAATATCACTTTGGTTCACAAAAGTTCCTTTTGCAGGAGCCTCGACGATGTTCGTATGAATCTAGAGGTCCTCAAGCATTGTGCTACTGTTCTGTTTCTGGTATGTGCACAAAAGTTTCGACCATTTATGCAGCTCTTCTTGCATACCTGAGTTATGTAAATGGAATTTCTCTTTGTGGGTCACCTCTGATTTCGCTAATTTCTCTACCAGGAATCGACCCTCCCAAGCATATTACACGGAAAGTGGAAAACTTCATCCACCACAACAACTCGAAACAGAGCCAACGGGAAGTTGCATTGCAGAGAAGAAAGTAGTCGAAAATCTCCTCCAACGTCACCAGGATATCAACTGAGATCAGTTCCTTATGCAAGAGAGAGATTGGGAATTGGAAAGGTTCAGTTACAGGTCTTTCTTTAAATGTCAATGATATTTCATATATACATATATGGTGAAATTTTTTTCCAATCAACTGATGAAAACCTGCTTATTTGAAACAGATGACAGAAAAGGTAAAGAATGTACTCTGCAGAGCTCAGGGAAAACAGAATTTTGACATCTTACTCGAACATTCTCGTTCGCTGCTACGATGACTCGAACCAAATAGATATACCATCTTGTTGATAAGAACCTTGTCATTTGGAAAGTGTTTCTTCTTGGGAGAGATTCTTTAATGCACATACATGAAAATTGAAAACATAAGCAGCAATCAAACAGTTGATTTTTTACTTTGATCTCTTGAATTAAGAAGGTGACAAAGGATGCAGTTTTTACTGTACATAAGCTTCATAAATGAATCGAATTTATATTAAAGAAGGTGACAAAGGATGCACCTTTTACTGTACATAAGCTTCATAAATGAATCAAAGGTAATAAAGAGTTTCTTGGAAAGGAAAACAGCTTTTAAAATAGAGTTGCCTACATTATAAGTAAATCTATTTCCTTAATGAAAAATCCACGAAGACAATGAAATATTGTGAATCCAAATTACAAAGAACAAATCCTTTTGAAGTAGTCCTTTACTTCCATTTATATCCGATTCAATGAAAGTTGTAACGCTTGGATATCATCATTTTATCATCCAGATTTGCCGCTACAGCTTCTGCAATAGTCAAGAAGGTCTTCATTTCTATAGTGCTAAGGAAGTTAACCAATCTTTACATAATAACGTTGGAAGAAATTTGAACATCTTAGATGTTAAGGATCTCACGTTAAAAAGAAAAGGAACCTTACCACGGTTTATAAATTGATTTTGAGATGGAACTCCATGAATATTGATATGGTATCAGAGCTCAAATACGTTTTCTTTTTGAACAGTTTTCAAAAATCTCCTTTCTAAGCGCCATTTCTCCTCCCATCAAGTTTTAAAAATGCATAATTTTCTGAGAAAGCAAAATAATTGGCGCACACTCGATCCAACGAAAACATGTTAAATACAGAGGCTCCAATTCCATTCCAACAAAAGTTTGATAGGAAAAAACTAAAGGGAAGTGATGGGTGTCTCTTTCATGACCTCCTTTAATTTACAACCTCATCTATTCTTCCCTCTCTTGATTGTAATAATTGAAATGAACAGCCTCAAAAATAATGTACAAACTTCTTTTCTTGCTTTATTTATTTCGATTACTTATTACAGAATAAATTTAACATGCAGGCCTCCAATTCACGAGATCTCCTCTCCAATACCAGACTCTTCGGAAAAGTGGGTTTTAAAAACAGACACTTTTGCTTTTGGATTGGAGAAATGGAAAAAAGAAAAAAGAGAGAAACAAAAGGAAAGCCATTAATTGAAGTGTTGAAAAGCTTTGTTCCAACCCGAATTCCAAACCATCACAGTCCAGAAACGCATAGGCTCGGCGCTGCTTCGGAGTTATTGGAACTGACAAAGAATTGAAATCACAAGTTTCTTTCAATTTCCAAATAGTTCATGGCTCTGGTCTCTTACCATTTCTGTATGAACAAACCCATGTGACTCTTTTCATCTCATCTTGGATTTTATGCCACCCAATTACATCCAATTATTGAACCATCTTATTATTAATAGTGTCAAATTATTTGTGTTTCGATTTTCAATCACAAAATCGCCCAAATGATGAAAATAAACTGTAAGAAATAATCCTACTATAGCTAGGAATGAATAATAATAATAATGGGCCCTCCTGCACAAACACATTATTAAGGAGGATGCGTTCTGGATTACCATGTATAATTTCATCAAAGCCTATTCATGCTGATTGCTGCCTCTAGTATTATCCTACCGATCCAACACTGTTCTTCTTAACAATCCACCGCCACATCCTTTGTTGCTTTTATCATAGGATAATTTTCTCTTTTTTTAAGAAGATTAAGCTCGCTGTCAAATTCAACTGTATATATTAAATGTATTTAATTAAATATGCTCACTCTTCGTTCCCCTTTGTTTCACCTTTCATTTATAGGCTTTTGTCGTTTTGGTATCCCCTCCAAGTTTGTCCACGTCACATGTTATGGACATCTCTGGAACGTGGGCGAGAGAGCGAGTCCTCGTCAGACTAAAATCAAAGGCAAGACATTACATTACTCAAAAAGCTTATTTTAGAAAAATTATTAGAGGAAGTTGTCACTCATGATTAAGGAAGATTATATACATATATATATATATTGTTGGTTTTTTGGGCCTAAATCTCAATTAATTTTAATTTAATTAATTAATATTTTGATGATAACAAACGCACTTAATATTAATTGTTTCTGGTGTGTAAGATTATTATTATAAAGCATAAATTTATTATCAATTTCGATCATATTATATGATTTATTGATAATATATATTGTGTTTATTGATAATTTTAGTGTTTTTAAGTATCCACAACGTACGAAGAAATTATGAGTAAAATAAATTAAAAGAAAAAATACAAGAAGATGATGCAGCGGCTAAACCAACCAAACGGACTAATGAAATAGCTACACGTGACGAGATATATTTACTTAAAGAAAATAACGGTGAAAGAAAAAGAAAAGAAAAGGAAAAGTTAAAAAAAAAAATTAAAAGAAAAACAAAGTTACATTAGGTAATTTGTTAAAAAAAATCATGTCATGCATGCTGGCGGACTAACCGTTAAAAGTTTTTTTATTATATATATATAATTATTTTATTCAATTAAATCACGTTTTGAGTGATTTCCTTCCCCAATTAAATTTGTTTTAAATTTAAATTTGATTTCAGATATTTTTTTTTTAACTTTTCCTCATCTATTTGCACCATTCATTCTTTCAAATTTTCAACAACAATTTCCTCTTCAATTTTCTCTCTAATCTCTTCGTATTTTTATCTCCAAAATTTCAATGTTCTTATAAATTTTCTGGACAACTTTTATTTTCTTTTAGCCATTTGAGTGCTTTTATTTATAAGTATTTATCTTACAAATTTGGGAGCAAAATTTGTAAATCCACTCTTTGTAAGAGATTGTAAGTTCTTCATTTTCCAAATTCATTGTAAGGGTTGCTCTTGAACCCGAAAAAGAGTATTTGTAACGGTTTTATCCTGAACCGTGGAATGGATCGAGTTTGTTCTTGCTCCCGTAAAAAGAACTTTGTACCGGTTGAACTCTAAACCATGGAAAGAGTCAAGTTCTTCAATTGAACACCTAAGAGGAACTTGGAGAGTGGAGTAGGTCGACTGTTGCCGAACCACTATAAATTTCCGGTGTCATTTTCTCTAGCTTCTCTATTTAATTTTTGAAATTAATTTTTTTACTACAAATTCCATAAAATTTAAATGTTCGAATTTGTTATTCATGTTTATGGTCAATATTTATATTTGAATTATTTGACTGGTGAATTACTTAAGGTGTTTGTATTGTTGTTTAATTTTGAGTTAAAATCATTTGTTTATAAAAAATTTATTTATTTATTTAAATTGGACCAACTGCAGTAAAAAGTTTAAAAAGTTTCATTAAATCCTATTCACTCCTTTAGACTTGTCATAACGATTCAACATGTAAATCTAAAGTAGGTTGAGTTCAACTTGTCTAAGGTTATACATTAATGGACCTCTAAAAAATAGATAAATAAATTATTAAAATAATATTATGTCACTAACTTTTAAAAAAATAACATTCAAATAATTTAATTCATCCAACTCAAATATCACAAGCAATCTCTCTTGGATTTGAAACTACATTTTTTCTTTTTTTTTTTTCCGTAAATTTAAGAATTGCATGAATATTGATATGTTAAATACCAAAAAAAATATCAAATCTAAAAATAGAACCGGATCGGAATTGGTGAATTGAATGCGAAAAAAATGAGTATCGAAATGAACGTTGAGGATCTAATAAGAAATTGTCAAGAACCGTCAACTCTTCTCCAGCTCACATTTTCCTAATATGGTCCACAGATCGTAGGCTTGCACCACGTGTCAGAACATTACGCCCTCCTCCTTTTTCTTCATCAAACAAATTCTCAGCGGTTTCTTTTTTTGTTGGATGGAAAATTCTCAAAATCTCTAATATGGCTCAACTCCCCAAAGGATTAAGGAAGGTGAAGGGTGGCAAAATTTCCCTACTAAATTCATGCCTCCTCCAATTAAGATGTGTCAAGTATATTTATTATTATACAAAAAGGAAAATAAATATTTTTTAAATAGAGTCCACGTATATACTCTAAATAAACCACCATCTAATAAAAAAAACTTAAATTGATAAGGTAAATTTAATTCATATACATAGGTGTAAGGTTTGGTGGGCCACAGTGCCATTCATGCATGCCACGTGTCAACTGTTCAGTTGCGTTTTGTGTCTATAAATTGAATGCATTGGCATGAAGCGATGAATCACGCATTACAGCAGGCTGAGGTTCAGAACCGGATTTCTCTCTTCCATTGCCATCGGATAGAGCTCATTCGATTGAGTCCCAAATTTCCCATTTATTATTTCTTCCTCTCTTCTTGTATTTCTCGGAAAGAGATTAAAAAGATGTTCATCGACAGCTTTAAGGTTGAGAGTCCCAATGTGAAATACACAGAGAATGAGATTCATTCTATGTATGACTATGAGACCACGGAACTTATCCATGAGAATAAGAACGGTAGCTATCAGTGGACAGTCAAGCCCAAGATTGTCAAATACGAATTCAAGACTGATACCCGCCTCCCAAAACTAGGGTTTGTTTCTTTATCCCCTTCGTTTGGATCATTAGATTTCTAGAATTTGTTATTTTGATTCTCTGGTCTCTCGATAAGAAAATTTGTTATGTATTGTGTAGGGTTATGCTTGTTGGATGGGGTGGAAACAATGGTTCAACCCTTACTGGGGGTGTTATTGCCAATCGAGAGTAAGATTTCTTTCGTTTTTAAATGTGATCAAGAAATGTAATTTTGTTGTCTATATTTATTGTTTTTTGGTCTATGTTCGATCGGATGGTTATTTGGGTTTGGGCAATTCCTCCACCCACTTTTTTGTTTGTATTTGAGTTGGGTTTCTTCTTAATTAATTTTTTATAACTTTTGAACATGTATGCGTTAAAATAATCTCCAGAGGAATCTCCTGGGCAACTAAGGATAAAGTTCAACCAGCCAACTATTTTGGCTCATTGACCCAGGCTTCGTCTATCCGCGTGGGTTCTTACAATGGCGAGGAGATATATGCCCCATTTAAAAGCCTCCTACCTATGGTATTAACTTTTTGAGTTTTAAAGGGAGGGGAAGGTCCTGTAAATCGAATCTGTTTTGTTAATCCCCAATATTCTACAGGTTAATCCAGATGACATTGTGTTTGGAGGGTGGGACATTAGCGACATGAGCTTGGCAGATGCCATGGCAAGGGCCAAGGTGTTTGATATTGACCTGCAAAAGCAATTGAGGCCCTACATGGAATCCATGGTCCCGCTCCCTGGGATCTATGACCCTGATTTTATAGCCGCTAATCAAGATTCCAGAGCCAACAATGTGATCAAAGGAACCAAGAAAGAACAAGTCCAAAAAGTCATAAATGATATCAAGTAACATGCTCTACTTTGATTCTGTTTTGGGCCTTTGGCACATTCAATTTTTTCAGATACCCATGTTCTCTAATCTGCAGTAAAAAGTAAAGGAAGTGAATATTTTACATTTTAATCTAATTCTCTGGGTCCTATTGTGATTATTAGGGAGTTTAAGGAGAAGAGTAAAGTGGATAAAGTGGTTGTGCTTTGGACTGCCAACACAGAGAGGTACAGCAATGTGGTTGTGGGGCTGAATGACACAATGGAGAGCCTTTTAGCTTCACTGGACAAAAACGAGGCTGAAATATCTCCTTCTACCTTATATGCAATTGCCTGTGTTCTTGAAAATGTCCCTTTTATCAACGGAAGCCCACAGAACACCTTCGTCCCTGGTATGATCTAAGCTTTACATTCTGTTCTCTTACTTGAATGATCATAGGCATCAAACATTCTGAGTTTTTGGGTTGTAATCTTCCACAGGGTTGATTGATTTGGCTATTAGAAGGAACAGTTTGATTGGAGGAGATGACTTTAAGAGTGGTCAAACCAAGATGAAATCTGTCCTAGTGGATTTTCTAGTCGGGGCTGGTATCAAGGTAGAAATTTAACACAAAAATTTGTTTGATTTTCATCTTGCCCATGAAACCAGTGAAACCTTCCTCTTATTTGTGATCTTTTTTACAGCCAACTTCAATTGTGAGCTACAACCATCTTGGAAACAATGATGGAATGAATCTCTCTGCCCCACAAACCTTCCGCTCCAAAGAAATATCAAAGAGCAATGTGGTGGACGACATGGTGTCGAGCAATGGCATCTTGTACGAACCAGGGGAGCATCCTGACCATATTGTGGTGATCAAGGTGCTTCTTCTTTTGCTTCTTCTTCATTGAAGCCTTTCCTCTTTACTGTGTTATTTTGCCTGAATTGTGAAGCGTTTTTTTTTTTTTTTGGGATTTTTAGTATGTACCATACGTTGGAGACAGCAAGAGAGCCATGGATGAGTACACATCAGAGATATTCATGGGTGGGAAGAGCACCATAGTGCTGCACAACACATGCGAGGACTCCCTTTTGGCCGCTCCCATTATCCTTGATCTAGTTCTGCTTGCTGAGCTCAGTTCTCGCATCCAGCTCAAGGCTGAAGGAGAGGTGGGTTTGGGTTTAAACTTTGCATCTTTTGAAACTAAACTAAAAGATGGAGATTGAAGAGGAGTTGATTGTTTTTTTGCAGGAGAAGTTTCATTCATTCCATCCAGTGGCTACAATACTGAGCTATCTCACCAAGGCTCCTCTTGTAAGTACAAAACTGATCTTCTTCTTCTTCTTCTTCTTCTTCTTCTTCTAGTGCTGAACTCTGGCTGAACCAGCAATAGAACTCATAATAACTGAGAGTTTGTGGAAAACACAGGTTCCCCCAGGCACACCAGTGGTGAATGCCCTGTCGAAGCAAAGGGCGATGTTGGAGAACATTTTGAGGGCATGTGTTGGGCTGGCGCCTGAGAATAATATGATCTTGGAATACAAGTGAAAAATGCCACTTCTGCTTTCCTAGTTTCAGTTCGATGTAATTGATGCTCTTGTCTCAGCAATGTGCATTTTATTTTTCTTTTTTAGAGCAGGAAGCTTCTGTGTGAAGGCTGTTGTCTTGTGATTCAACAGCATCCCTTAATGAGGAAAGGGGAGTATGATATATAATTAACGGGTTAAACTACTCTCAGTGTGCAAGTTAACGGTACATTTTCAATATAAACTTGTGGACGTTTCGATACAAAATAGAACACACTTTATATAAGTTGAATGTTGGCATACATTCACAAAAGCCATAATCTTTAATAAACATTTATATACCAGTATATTGTTAGTATTAGTCACCAACACCAAAAAAACGTATGTTTTATTTTTAACTTGGTAAGTCTAAAATGTTTATGAGAAATTAATCTTGGCACATTGTGGCTGCAGTTTTACACCTTCACAGAATGAAAGATAAATTTCAAAAATATATTTTAATATAGCAATTAACAAATTTCTTCTCTGCACCACATCAAATAGTTTTTTAACAAATAATTAAGACTTAAAAATGGTATAGAAAGTGACTTTCTAGAAAAAGTAAAATTTTTTTTTCTAGATATGGGAGTTTGAAACTCGATTTTAAGACAGTAGAGGTTAATTATAATTGAACTATACTCATATTGACAGTTATATTTGTATTATAACACAAATATAAATGACAATATATTGAAATATTTATGCATTAGGGTGTTCCACGAGGGAGTTGTTATATCAATGCCTTCATTATTTGGGACGATTTGGGTGAATTTGAAGTACATAGTTCAATGGTAAAAATGTCTCCAACCAAAAGGTTGTGAGTTCGAACTTTCATCATCTATGTTATACTAAAAGAAATAAAGATGAAAACATGTGCATATAGTTATGTTATGTATATTATTAATATATTTGATGTACAATTGTTGTCGATCAAAGATTATAATAATAATAATAATAAAAAGATTGTATTAACAACTACACTGACATCTTTTATGTATTGCATATGGCTCACCATAGAATTTATTTTTACCTTCTATGGAAGGAATAGAAAATAGAGAATCTATTAGACCAAATAGAAAATAGATTATCTATTAGACCTAAATCAATAAAGTGCTTCATATATATATATATAGACACATACACTATTCTATATGTTGACGCACGTTATCTATATGTTTTTATATTTATGTTTGTTATATGAAAAAAAAGAAATTATATAGAAAGGGTTCTTTCTTTAAATGTTAAAAAAACGTAAAAAGGGGTTTTTTAATATTATTTTTAACAATCAAATTTATTAGGTTTTATTGAGTTCATGACCATTTTCTCTCTTTTTTTTTTTTTATAACTTCGGCAATTTTTTGAAAAAAATTGGGGAAAAGTGGCTATTTATGTGAATAGCCCAAATGCTTACCACTGTGGGCCTTGGCTTGGTGACTAAGGGCCCAACGCTAATTTCGATATACATATTTAGCTGATTTTCAGGCACTATTTACCATAACGTCAAAGCGTTAAAACTTTCTACAATACTTTTATGACAAATAGTTAAATAAAAATAATTTGATACGAAGAATATATCGAAGTGCTAATTCGAATATTATGATTTTATAAAATAAAACAGGTAAATATTGATTCAGAATTTTACGTATTTAAGAAATAAAACTTAGATTTTAAAAATTACATCCATATGCATAAACATTACATCCCACACCATTATAATTAACGAAAAGTTTCTGGAATATTTTACAGTGGCTTATGAGAGAGAAAATGAATTATAAAATTAACTTATTTTACAAATACGTATTTTACTGTTAAAAAGAAAAGATTTTTTATTCTGTAAAGTATATAGTAGTTATAGACTCTTCAGTCATACCAAATCACGAAATTACAATATCTAAGATAAAAGTCTACATCAAATAATAATTCGCCCACAGCTTTTTCAATTTCCCTTTTTCTTTTTAGATCTTCTAAGTATTCTGTTTGTACAAGTTACTGAAAAATTAAAATACCATATGACATGGTAGTAACCTCCAACAACTAGACAGCTGGCGAGCGGAGAGGCAGCGGCGGAGGCGGAATCGGTGGTGGTGGAATCATATTAATTAATGAAAATCTTGTCCAACTGTTTGTGGTCCCTCTCATAAGCGGCCGCCACCGTCTTGGCCCTTCCTCGACCCCCTCCCGGCCGCCGTCGACAACGGCGCATGCCGCTCATCTTTCTTCTTCGACCCTGCCGCTCCGTACACCTCTCTTCTCTCGTCTTGTTTTATTTGCTTCTCTCTGCACTCCGAACTACAAAACGCAGTGTCTCCTCTGCACGTGACATCGAATCAATAATTTTAAAAAAATATATATATAAAGATACTCAGAAGGAAAATGATAAATAATTTGCTCTCGGTGTGTACCTCTACCTACCTGTACATGTAGATGTCGCGGCCGGCAACGAGGCGGCGTTTGCAGAGGCCGCACGTGCGGAGGAAGTGATCGGGAGGTGGCTGCACGAGATCACGTGGCGACGGATTTCTTGGATTGGCGATGGTAGTTTGGGCCGGAATGGCGAGGTGGCGTATTTGTGCAGCCGCCGTGGCGCGGGGATCAGTAATTAGGTCGTGATTTTGATCGGACGGCTCTTCTGGTTCGACGTCGGGTAGATCCGGCGTGATTCCGGTCATACTGGCGGTTCTCTTGATCGGAGGGCGAGGACGCTTCCCCAGCAGCATCTTGTTGATGGGAGGAAGAAGAGGGAGGAGAGCGGGGGGTGGACTCGGAGACTACGCCATGGCAATTTATGGAAGGTGGGGGAAGAGAGAGAATGAGGATCATGAATGCTGAGAGCGAATCTTGGCCGTTGCTTGCGGGCACCACGTACGAGAGAGCCCACGTCACGCCTTTTTCATTTTATTATTTTTTTTTTTGGGTTAAATTTGTCTCTCTTTCCTCCAATAACTGTAAAGTAAAAATGTTATTCAATTATTTGACGTTTACCGAAAATGAAATAAATCATGGGGAAGTATGGCTGTATACTAAGGGGACTCAAAGGCACCCGGAATGAAACTCACATTCCCTCTTCATGTCGAATCAGAATCGGATTCCCGCTCAGCTATTCACCCTCTCTAAAGCGATGACGTAGATGTAACAGAAATTTGCATCTACAGAATCGTTGAGTTGTACTCCAGTTACTATGAAATGAATCTTTGACTTTCAATTTTATTCATTTCAATTAAAATAATTTAACTATATACCAGATCTAGTCTTTTTTCTTATTTGAACATAACGTGTGGAGGTGAGAGGTTGAACCCACAACCTCCTAATTGAAGATATATGTCAATCACCTGCTAAAATAGACTTATTTTGTTTTGATTAAAAAAAAAGATGGATTGAGATTTGATTTACGTATATCATACTTAATTAATTAATGAGACCACTAGAGAGACTCGTGTATTATTATTAATCAAGCATGTGTTAAACCATTTATCATTATCCATTACAATATTGACGAGATAAAATCTTTCTCATTAATTTAGATATTTCCATTAACTAGTTCCCAAATTCTTTCCTTCAAATTAGGTTCACAGATTGCAATGATAAATACTCTGTGGCCGTGTTAATCAACTTTTATAATATTTTAAATTCAAGGTTCAAATTAACTCACATTTCCAATAAATTAACATGATGTAGTGATTCAAGTCGAGAAGTAAAAGTGGGTAATTTGACAATAATTAGTTTGATAAATGTAAACACGATTGAGGGATTTGATGCATGGAGGGATTTTGTTTGGTATATAGAACTAAAAGAAAAAAAAAGAAATGAAGTAGTTAGTGGAAGATAGATTAGGCAATGAGAGGGAAACATCATTATTAAAGGAGTGAAATGAAGAAAAGGGAGGATGGACAAAAAGACGTCACATTTCCCACTCACTAAATACTAAAGAGACAGTAATGGGACAGCCAAGGCACATCCCCATCTTTTCCTTCACCCCTTTTGCCTATATTGTTTCTTTAATTTGCCTTTC